AACTTTATTTATACTGGATAGCTCTATCAGTTCTAAACTTTTCTTCCTAGAGGTCCAGTAAGGATCATCTCTTATTGATCCAGTGTTACTACAGGAGGAAACCTAAACTAAACTAACTTTATTTATGCTGGATAGCTCTATCAGTTCTAAACTGTTCTTCCTAGAGGTCCAGTAAGGATCATCTCTTATTGATCCAGTGTTACTACAGAAGGAAACCTAAACTAAGCTAGCTTTATTTAATATACTGGATAGCTCTATCAGTTCTAAACTGTTCTTCCTAGAGGTCCAGAAATGATCTTCTCTTATTGAACCAGTGTTACTACAGGAAGAAAGAATTAAATAACAACTAGCACTTGAACAATACTTACCTTTTCCAAAGAATGTATGTATACATCCTTTAAACCCAGACTCTTCAGGCATTTCCCCTGGCTTGCCTTTCTGATGCAGACTGGTTGATATCCTGCTTGCTTGAACCGCGACTAGATTTCCACCAACGCCTGATTGAAATGTTCACAATGTTAGTCACTCTTAGTAGCGAGTTCACAGTTTTACAACAAGAAAGTAGACAAACATAAATACAATTCAAACAAACAAACAAATTCATACACACAGTCAAACAAATACATAATTTATATTATTTATTTTAAAAAATCCTGGTTTCTGATTGGCTAACAGCCAACTGTGAAGTTGTCATATTAAGGCCAGGTGATCTCGTGTTCGTATTTTAGTCAATCAGCGCTCAGAAAGGGTTGTCCGAATAGAAATCCATTTTGATGTATTCAGTCAATCATATCTTTCGTTATTCTTTATGAAACTAGTTGAAATTTTGTGATTATGTTTGCTTATGAGAACTATAGCTCTGACAAAAATATGGAATCGAAATAAAGTATATTACAGGAGATATTCAGTTGTTTTAATCATAAAATGGATTTCTATTTGACAACTAGTGCCAGTACTTTTCCGCGTATTAAGATCACCTGGAACTCAATGGCTAACCAAATACGGATTTTTCACATTCATATTAGCAAAATGACGTCAAAGAGTCAATATGAAAAAAATTTGGACGCGTTTGCGCCATATTACTATGACGACGAGAATCATATTGACTCGCTGACGCCATTGATATGACGCGACGACGGCTGCCGAAGGACTAAGGAATTGTTTTTTTCTTAATACAAATAAAATACAAAAGTTTGTTTTGAATTTTTTAAATAAATAAAGAAACAATTATTGAATTCGGTTTTCGCACAATATGAAGAATTATCAAGCCCTCAGTTTGCTGTTATCAACCTCAGCCTTCGGCTTCGGTTGATAACGGCAAACTTCGGGCTTGATAATTCTTCATATCGTGCTCAACCTCATTCAATAATTGTTAATTAATAATCTGTAGGATATTACTTTACATAGCTAGCATACAACATCAAGTCATAAGTCATGAAGAAATACTGCTACATGTAAGATTTATTAATACCATTGATAACTGGGTTATATACGGCAATTCCTTTGTAGTTTGCAACAGTATAATCAAGTATAACACCACCAGTACTGAAAATAATCAAAGTATTAGTTTGTTTTCGTGACAGTTTGCCCAATAAGGCCTGTACTGTCAGACACTGTAGTTTTTATAAATATACAAAATATTTCAACTCAAGGGCTCGTAATACAAGGCCAATCTCACCTGCTTATCACCATAGCACTAATAACAGGATTCCATCCATTATATAAAATATTCTGAGTGTATATATTATGATGACAGATGTATATAAAACATGGCAAGATGAGAAAAAAACTTGCAATAATTAGCGGTGCTATCCAGTGATTTGAACCTAGGGAAGAGTTTAAATTGTCATTAAAACTAGATGCATTATTTCTTTTTAAACCACTGAAAGCTAGCGCTAAACCAAAATCATCTAGCATTAGACAGAGTAAAATAATAATGTAGGGTGCATTAGGGTGCTACACAACTTAATGGGTTAACTAGACACATGGGCAGTCTGATTAACCCATTGAGCACATTGCAGTGACTTCGGTTGAGCAAGCGGCCAAGTGCCCAGGCCTTAAAATATCGGTCGGTCACGGGCATTGTCCCACCCATTCGTGAAATTGTCCGACGTTCAGAGGAAACCACCGGACATTCTGTCCGACCTAAGTGAAACTGAGGTTTATTGTTTGTCCGACCTGAGTGTATTGGTGTCCGACCGAACTGTAACTTAATTGTCCAACGTAAATCAAAATGTTGCCGGCGGCGAGCGAAATGGTGAAGTGGAAAATGATCTTAAGTGTCGACATCTTACTGTTGTTATTGGCATGCAAGTTAGTTTTGGCTTAGAAATAAGTATGAATGACACAAATTATTCAATATCTTCATAACATTTACCGTTCAAAATTAATACATTATGCTGATATTTGTGTCATTCGGACCTTAACCGTGTACAGACTTATTTCCGAGCTATTAAGCTGAACTGATGGTCATCGGACATCGTCATACATATGTCCGACCCAAACCCAAACTCGATGATTTTGTCAGACGGCCCTGTAAAAGATATTTTAAGGCCTGCAAGTGCCTTTGACCGCTGAGATTGTGGGTTCGATTCTAGTTACGGACTCAGGTGAAAAGCGTCAGTCAACGCTCTGCCGAAAGTCGTGTGTTTTCTCCGGGTGCTCCGGTTTCCTCCCACAGGGAAAGTTGACAGAGTGGATTAGGATAAACACAGCTAAGAAAGTAATATCACAATTGTTGTAAAGATGAAATAGTCTACACGCGTAAAAACGCTCAGGTTGTTGCAATATTGATGAAAACAGGATTGAACAATGTTTTGCTGCCCACATTGTTCACAGTTGCCAACAATATTGAACAATATTGTTACACCGATTCAGTCTCAACAATATTGTTCAATATTGTTAACAAGTGTGAACAACATGGGCAGCAAAACATTGTTCAATCCTGTTGAGCAGCGGGCTCGGCGTTTTTTGCTGTGTAGGCTAAGCATGTAATTAGGTAAGCATATGATACTTGATGTAAGGCACATTTGATCATATCCATATTTAAATTTGCGCTATACAGGGTGTCTAAAAAAAAAATGCTATGGAAATTCAACAGGCTGTTGTGCATCATAAACTTAGCTAAAAAATTCAATTTTTACATAGGACAAAAGAGCTGTTATTTAGCTTTTCTATGATACCTTTCTTAAACCATAATGATGAGAAATGGCCACATACTCGTCAAATGAAAATTGTCGGTCAAAATCACATTCTTTCACCGTTGGGAATTGAAAAGACATTAATTATGCAAAGTTAATCAATCCAAAAGCAACGCGAGTTTGCTGCTGAAGGTATTTGCTTCGTAAAACATTTTGATTACAAAATCAAATAATCAATGTTCTCTGTTCAGTGGTTAATTGAACCATGTTTAAATTCAATAATCATGACGTTTTTATTGTCTCACTAAGACGAAGATTGAGAAGTTGAGCTCATTTTAGGTAATTTAACATTGAACTTTAATTCACTCTTGGGAATTGTCTGTGTTTCATTTTCCATGCAATTCCCAACAGTGGAAGAATGTGATTTAAACCGGCAATTTTTATTTGACGAGTATCAGGCCATTTCTCATCGTTACGATTTAACAAGAGTATCATTGTAAAGCTAAATAACTGTTCTTTCGTCCTATGTAAAAATTGAATTGTTTAGCCACGTTTATGATGCACGGCAGCCTGTTGAATTTCCATAGCGTTTTTGGTGAGATACCCTGTAGAAATGCTAATCGTAATCGCAACTTAAAATCGCGAGTTAAAATAAAATTATTAAGTTCAAATTCTCACCATACCTAAACATCTGTGCAAGAAACTGCTAATGCCTGACAATAATGCCAGTGTGACCAAATCTCCAAGACTTGCCGCAATAGGCGTAGCAATATTATCTGGATTAATCCTCAATTTCCGAGACAAAACAATAATAGCTACCATAAGTGAACCCAGAATAAGGCTCGCTACGGTTGCTGTAACGAGACTGCTCGCACATAGTAGTGTCGCGTGGTCAATGTTGAAATGACCGTCGGCAACCCAACCCATTGTTACGGCAGCGGTTGCAGCCAAGGTTGCCACAACTATTGCTTGTACCTTGGTAACAAAAGAAACAATGATTAATTAATGGATAAATTAAATTAAAGCTTAATTTATAGAGCACCTTTATAGCTATGCTGCTAGCCTCCTGGCATACAAAAACCACTGTAGAATACTACCTACACTGGACCACCACATTTGAGATATCTTTTTCAGGTAGTTCAGACACAAACCACGACAGCTTATTGTAGAATACTACCTACATAGGACCACCACGTTTGAGATATCTTTTTCAGGTAGTTCAGACACAAACCACAACAGCTCATTGTAGAATACTACCTACACTGGACCACCACATTTGAGATATCTTTTTCAGGTAGTTCAGACACAAACCACAACAGCTTATTGTAGAGTACTAATTACACCAAACCTCCACATTTGAAATATATTTTCCAGGTAGAAATATCTTTTCCAGGTAGTTAGTAAAGATGTATTTTTGCTGTTTTACAGCATATTCTTTCAAATTTAAATTTCGTAAAAAAGTTTACAAAGGTACAAAACTTTTTTCCAATTTTAACTGGAAATAAACCTGCAGTTTCATGAATTAGTAGCTCAACCGTGAAGCAAAGTTTGAAAGGCATATATAAACACAAATTTTGTCGAAGACGACCCTGATATTTTTAACAATTTAATCGTTGTCATGGCTATGTCCAAGTAAGTGTAACCATTTCACAGCAAAGTTTTCGAAATGTTTTACCGTTTTCAATTGACATTCATGATATAAATTTCATCATACCATGGTGACCACTATTGCTTTAATTTATAATCATGAAATACTCTTCGTGTCATGTAGAATTTCTATACTTCATCTGTTAAGAAAGGCGAGGGGTTTCTGCATTCATGTATTTCTAGTTGTAGAATACTACCTACACTGGACCACCACGTTTGAGATATCTTTTTCAGGTAGTTCAGACACAAACCACGACAGCTTATTGTAGAGTACTACCTACACTGGACCACCACGTGTGAGATATCTTTTTCAGGTAGTTCAGACACAAACCACGACAACTTATTGGAGAATACTATCTACACTGAACCACCACGTTTGAGATATCTTTTTCAGGTAGTTCAAACACAAACCACGACAGCTTATTGTAGAATACTACCTACACTGGACCACCGCGTTTGAGATATCTTTTTCAGGTAGTTCAGACACAAACCACGGCAGCTTATTGTAGAATACTACCTACACTGGACCACCACGTTTGAGATATCTTTTTCAGGTAGTTCAGACACAAACCACGACAGCTTATTGTAGAATACTACCTACACTGGACCACCACGTTTGAGATATCTTTTTCAGGTAGTTCAGATACAAACTACGACAGCTTATTGTAGAATACAACCTACACCACCACGTTTGAGATATCTTTTGTGATACATGCACTTACGTTGCTTTGGTATAGCACTATAGGCGTGGATGTCCATCGGTTTGCCAAGGTTAGCCGTCATTAACACGACATTAGCCCCAGTGTTCACGCCAGCACGATAG